ATTTTTAATAAAATTAATATTTGCGACTCCTTTCTTTGTACAGCATTTTCTTTAGTGTAGAATTATTAAGTATCAATTATATATATATACATACATATATATATATATATATATATATGTTTAAAAATAATTTTGACTTACTCAATATTTCGAAACAGAATGTTAACTGGAAAATAATATAGATTAAAACTATATTGTTTTAAAAAATTATCAGCAGCCAATTAATGCTTTAGCAGTATGCAATATTCGAAGAAAATAATTATTCACATACACTTTATTACAATCATTATATGTACCACGATACGATTCGAAAGACCACGAAAGACTGACTGCGCTGTACATGTCCTTATGATAAATATAATGTGTGGGTGTGTGTGTGTGTGTATACCCTTCGCGCGGGCCGAAAAGCTGTATATATATATATATATATATATATACATAAGGACATCAGAAGTTTTGTTGACATAACACATTCTATTTATCATGATGACACGTACAGAAAATCAGTCAATCTTTCGTGATCTTTTGAACCATATCGTGGTAGATATAATAATTTAATAAAGTGTGTGTGAATAATTATATTCTTTGACCATTGCATACTGCTAAAGCATTAATTTGCTGCAGTAATTTAAAATTTAAAATATATATAATTTCATCCATATAATTTGCAGTTAACATATTGTTTCAAAAATTAGGTAAGTCAAAATAAGTTAAAAATATAAAAACATATATTTGTCTACAAATACAAAAAAAATTTAATTGTAAGTATAACGGAATTTTAAAGAATGTCCAACATATTATTATAAATAGAAATAATTTTATTCAAAATTATCTTCAAATTTCAATTCAGAGGTAATTTCAAATAATGCCGATATTATAATATTTTATAAATGTAATGTTGAAATAATCGTGGACCCACCAAAAGTTTGATAGACGAATAAATTATTCTGAATCTAAAAATACTATAATTTACATAACACATAATAAGTCTTATAATTGATATTTTTAATTGTCCTTTTATTACTAAATTATTAACATTCTATTTTCTACAATTTATCTGTGTAGTTATTTTTTATAAAAAAAAATATTTAATAGTATTTTAAAATTAAAAATAACTTTTAAGTTCTGTTGAGAGATATTAAATGAAATATTTTTAACAAAAACCAAAATTAAATATTAATTTTTGATGTTGAAGATTATTTATATAATTAAGAAAAAATACAAAAAATATAACAATTAGCTTTCAATACATATACAACATATATACAACAATAGATATATACAACACTGAACAATATATATCAATATATACACAACACTAAAATACATACACACATATATAGATATATATATATATATATATATAATTTTATTTTAAAAAAAGTGTGCAGAATAAAATTTGCACATTATTTCCTTACCATATATAATATTTTACAAATATAATGATTTTTTAATTAATAATTTTAATACTTTTTGTATTTATGTTTTTGTTTTTATTTATATACAAGAACATTATACATTTAAAAAATCTAAGCTGTATTTATTTCTTTATTTATCTTTTGTCTACAGTGTTTTACAGATCTGAAATAATATTCCTTTTCTTCGACATAATGATATTCCTAAAAACTATTATTAAGTAGCGGATTATTTTTACTGCTGTGACGGCTTTCATTCGTAATGAATCTTTGTGCTATCGACCATCAAGTAATATAAAAACCAATGCATTACGATATCAAACTTACCTCATTTATTGAAGGAAATATTTTCCAAGGAGAATACAATATCAGCATAAACATTCTTGACAAAACGCAACACATATATTTACAATCAGAAAAATTATGTATTAAAAAAATATAGTTTTAATTACAAATTTGAAAAAATATGAGAATGATAAAGATACAGTTTATAAACCGACATATAATACTAAAAAGACCCAATTAAAATATCCTTTCTGGATAAGTTATCACCTGGCAATTACACTTTAAATATAAAATATTTTGGCTTTGCTGCTAATGGTTTCAGAATTTTCAACGTGAAAAACAAAACTGTGTGTAAGTAAATAATACATGTTTATTAAAAAGTGTACAATATGCAATTACATAAGACATTAATTAATATACCACTTATGTATTAAATATTCCAAAAAATTATTGTATAAATCGCGGAATTTAAATCTAATAAATGTAAATCTTTACCTTTATTATTACGATAAATATAATAAAGTTAAAAAAATATAATGTGTTGACGCATATAACATTTAAACATTCTTAATTCTCAATATTTTTATGCTTATTTAAAAAGTTTCATTAATTTATGTTCTTTGAATTGTAGTTGGATAGGTGCTCTGCATTTCCAGATAATAGGCGATCGACAAGCGTTTCCATGTTGGCATACAAATAATTTATCGTTAGAAGCAACCTTTAACATTTCTTTAGGATGTCACAACTGCACGAGTTTATCAAATATGCCATTGCGAAATACGGAAAGAGATAAGTACAAATTGGAATGGAAACACTACACTACCACACCTGTAATGTTAACTCATCATGCAAGAATGGTTATGTCTAATTACCTAGTCCTTCTTGATTCAAAACTCAAAACATTAAAATGTGGTGCAGATTGAAAATCAATTTTACATGGAATTTGCAAAAAAAATGTAACTGAAAATATCACGTTGCATTTTCAACATACATGGAAACGTTCGGACAAAATTTGGAACGTGAATCATGTTGTAATTCCAAATTTCTCTGACAAAAAACATAACAGTTCTCGGACTTGTTTTTATAGGTGAGTACAAGTGCTTCAACTTACATTAATAATAAAATTATATTTGTATGTAAAATTATAGAATTTAAAAACATGCATGTCTTTTGTTTCTGTAAACGTTCAAAATAAGGAATTACAAAAACAACAATTTAGAATCCGTATTATTCTACAAAGTTAAAGTTTACCATAACAAAGTTGTCAGTTGATATTAAAAAATATAAAAAACTTCATTTGAAGGAGTGAGAAATAAATAAGAAGTGATCATTTATTCGCATTTTAACGAAATAATATATACATAAGAAATACACATTAGAGCGAACGTTTCGGCTGACATTTCGAACCTTCCTCAGCGCAATACAAATATTATATAATTGAAATGTAATATTGATTGTAATATTGTTCATTTGGGATTGAGAGTTGAGACGGTAAAAACGTTCTGTCTTTAGTAAACTTTTGTTTTTGGAAAAAACTGTGTCTATAAGATTTCGTATCTGATACTTGTAACTTCTATAAAATAATCGCCAATTTTATTTGAATCTCCATTTAATGTCTAACAACATTTTAATATGACGATTCAATCAAGATATCTCCCTTGACCAATAAATTAGGAGGCCTATACACATAGTGATTACATGGCACTGTCGCTCGATCTCAGTATGTATCAAAAATTTGCACTTGTCACACGCGATGACTTGTTTAGAAACATATGTAATGAGACAAAAAACTGACTTTTTATTATCTTGACATCTTTAATTGCCGTTTTTAATGTTCAATATTACATTTCAATTTATATAATATTTGTATTGCGCTGAGGAAGGCTCGAAATGTCAGCCGAAACGTTCGCTCTAATGTGTATTTCTTATGTATATATTATTTCGTTAAAATGCGAATAAATGATCACTTCTTATTTATTTCTCGCTCCGTTCAAATGAAGTTTTTTATATTTTTAATATCAACTGACAACTTTGTTATGTTTAATAGCTCTTATAGCCCTTCTTTGTTTACAATTATTAATTTAACAGAGCTAATTACTAATTTTATTAAAGTTTATCGTTTTAATACGTATATAAAGGGTAGAGTATGTATGCTAAATTGTATTTAAGGTAGGTATTAAAACTGCAATAAAGCTATAAAAGAAATGACATTTTTTTATTATTTCAAACTATAGTTTTTTTGTCAACGATATTCACATTCATCATTAACAGAAATTTATCGTTGTTTTATATTGTAAATTAAAAATAGAATATTATTTTGTACGATTTACAATACTGATTTGCTACATTGTACTTACGAGTTTGTAAATTGTACATCTAGCAATTAAATTAAATTAATCTAACAAAAAATAAAGTAGTATTTTCTATAAAAGTTCTCATTCTTAACATTTAAATATAACTTTCAGGGAAACAGATATTATCTACAATAAAAATGTATATCCTATTGCTAACAAAATCGAAGTAACTCAATCAGTAGGACGTAAAGTTACACAGGAATGGTTTAATAACATGATGAGCAATCCACTTGTGTCGGATTTTGGGTTAAAAAAGGTTTTACTACATTGTTTGCAACGTATACTGTCAATAAGGTTATTCTAAATATTTTCAATGCTATCTCGCTCCCAACTTCTTGCAAATGATATAATACTTAAGCATTTATATTGCAAGATTTTCCTAAATCAAACCCTTTTTACATAATCTACATATACGCACTCTTTGTGAATCGTCTTAAAAACATTTAGCATTATATAAAATAAACAACTGTTTTTTGAAAAATATTTTTTTCACATATTTACATACATAAAATTATTGTTTAACTTTTAAAACAATTTTTAATTTTTAACACCATTTTATTAGATATTATTAAATTTTGATAAAATCTCAAATGAAATAAAATAATCAAAAGCTAGTATACATAATATTTATTTCAAAAATTTGTTAAAAATAAGCCTGCAATATAATATTATGAGACAATAATTTAAAAAATATGTAATGTTTGCTAATTATATTAATACTAAATTTTAGATTATATTATATTTATTTTAATGTGCGCTCTGCAAAATGAGTGTTACGTTTTAAAAATGAAATAACGTTAATATAATTAATATTTGTTTTTAATTCAAGTATTTAAGAACGGGTATATTGATATATTATAATTTTTTTCTATAGATTTATCCTGATTATCAAATAATAATTTATTTGTTGTTCAAAATCAACATTACTCTTTTAATTTGGATAGTTTATATGTGGCCTTCTACTTCAAAAGTTAACAGTTTATCAGAAATTCCAAATTCTATCAGAGGTATACGAAATATAATAAAATAATCCTCGTAAATTTTCAATTATTAATATTTTAAAATATGTGTAAAGTTAAAAGATAATTAATTCTTTATTGGATTTTAATTAAATATTATTTTTATAAAAGTACACACACCCACACACACGCATACACACACGCATGCACAAAATGTCCGGTAATAGCCGCACATATGTAGATAGAGGGAATTAATTAAATGGTTCTTCAAAGATTTGCTATAAATAAAATGATAAACGGTGCGGCAATAAAAAACATTTCACTTTTACGCAATTATTACGCTGTATACCTCAGTGAGAAATGATGGTCAAATCGATGTCGATTCGTTGTCGAATCAATGTCAAATTAGTCGAACGGATGTCGAATCGATGACGATTCGATCAATCATTTCTCACTGGGACATATACATATACAATATATAATTTTCCTTAAAAAATCGTTATGTTTACAAGTAACCATTAAAGTAATATATATTTATAATATATCTAATTCATAATTTTGATGTAAATCGTAGCACCCTTTATACTGCGCATGATGCAACACGTCCTCACAGAAGAAATATTTCAGAAAGGCATAAGGAGATATATACATCTCAAGTAAGTAATACAATATAGAATATAATATAAAAAGTATAAAATTGTACAACGTAAATATTGTATAATAGAAGTTTATATGATGTCCTTTATTTCCTTTGGTTTCTTCTGACTTTATTTCATAATGTTTTTTTCTTACAATTAGTGTTCCGCTATTCCGCTATTTTTCTAGATCTTCTATTAGAATGCTTTTTAATTTCATTACTTTCCTATGAAAAACGTTTCTGTAAGAAGAAATGTTGTTTTCATCGTTATCACTTGTTAATATACTTTTTCATTGTTGTTTATTTTGTTATATGATTTGTTATTTTTTAAATTATTTTAAAAATTATTTTTATTCTTTTTATTTCCTTTATTTCCTTATATCATCTATAATTTTTATAATATCTGTTTTTTTAATTGCATTTTGTGCTACATTTGTCTTCTAATTTTATTTAACAGGTTTTTAAATATACAACACTTATACCTCTTTTCCATTACTTTTATGTTTTTATTTTCTTCTCCCGTAAAACGATCTCCATTATATATTTTTCTTATATTTGTTATGTCTTCAACTTTTTATTTATTTATTTCTTCTTTTAATCATTTTATACTCTCTCAATACTTTATTCAAATATAATCTGCTTTAATGCTAATAATGCTTAAAAAAATTAAATAAAATTATTAAATTTTATTTAAAATTGTCATCTTTTTTATTATCAGAATATAAGATAATATAAATATACAAATATAGAAGTCCAATTTTATATTTTATTTCTTAGTATTTATTAAAATTTTTTATAATATTAACATTATACAGACAATATTAACATGTTTGTAATGTTCTTTAATATATTTTACATATTATATTTAATATATTTTAATATATTTTATATACTTTGTGAATTTAGCGTACATTATATAGACTTTGTGGAACATATGAGACAAACTGCTTCAAGAATAAATCCATTAGTAGATATAGGTAGTATGGATAATTGGGCTTCGGAAAAGCATTGTCCTATTGTTAAAGTAGTACGAAATTATAGGAATCCTATAAGCCAAACAAAAGTATGGATACAATATATCGACTTATTAAAAATCGCTGTATTCCTGTAACTTTTACTACGCAAGAGTTTCCCGATTTTAACAATTTTACTCATCATTTGCTATGTCAATCTATAAGAGAGTCACGGGATTTTGAATTATCATTACCATTTAAAGAAAATGGTTGGATGATATTCAATATACAACAAATTGGTAAATATCGACTAATGGATTGCCTATTAAGACTTATTTCTCATCATCATTTTACACACACATAATTTACATTTTTATATTTTTATTTATTTTCATTCATGTTCTATAAAAATCTGAGATTCATTATACAATAACTATAATAGCTTTAAAATGTTTTGTGTACTTTATATTTTGCATTATTACATATATATATATATATATATATATATGTATGTATATTTAAGATATACATAAGCATTCGTAAATAATATTATTCAATATTAATATTATATTTTTACAAATATTTTATTTCAATAATATTAAAAATTGTTATAAAGTAATTATATTTATAAAATTAATGATAAGTGCGAAGTAACATACAATTTTCGTAACGTTAATGTAATAGAAAATTATATTGATTAGTATAAAATAATTTTTATTTATGCACAACTAGAATCAATTTTGTTTTATTATATTCAACAATATCTTGTACAATTTTATTTTTCTACTATTTCAAATATTAGGATGACACTTTTATAATTAATTTTCTAATATTTACATTTTACTTAACATATGTACTAAATTTTAGATACGTTATTAATTTATAATTTATATAAGCAAAAGTATGAAATCAAAGTGTTTTAAAATAAATACATTACGATAAAATTATTCAAAATAATAAATAATTAATAAGTAATATTTATTTAACTAAAATTTATTTACTATTCGACAGGATATTACCGCGTGAACTATGATGACGAGAATTGGCAAAGAATTATAAACTATCTACATTCTAGTAATTACAAGAAAATTCATGTTCTTAATCGTGCCCAAATTATCGATGATGCATTTTATTTAATGATAACAGGTCATATCAAAACCTCTATATTTTGAATATCATGCCCTATTTGTCTGAAGAAGAAGATTATATAGCATGGTATCTATGTTTAAAGCTCTGGAATACATGTTTGGTACTTTTTCTGTAATCATACTGGAAACAATATTTAGGATTTTACGGTAAATATTAATAAGTAAATTAAATTCAATAAAAGTGTTACATTTCAGATATTTGCATATAGATATTGCTCTTATTCATCACAAAAAATGTTAATACTCATTCTCAGAAAAATATACTCAGCAATGATAAAATTTTACATACTACTACGTTGCAACTAATGTGCAAACAAATTAAGTTTGTATAATCACTCACGCGAAGAACGGTCTCCAAAATGTATGATTTTCACTACTGCCAATATTATTAGTATATAACATTGTTGGATATATAACTATATGTGCTTCAAATCTTTGTCAATGAATGCAATTATATTGGCTGCATATAAATATTACATATTGGTAATTTTTAAATAAATAAAGCATTATGTAGTTGGAAAAATTTAATTATATAATAAAATTTAATTATATATAAAAATTTAATTTCTAATATAGAACAAGGTTATATTAGCCAGAGTACTTCTAAATATCAAATATGAAGAAATTGATGATACAGACAAACTTAGAAACTGATAAATTAATTATATATAAAAATTTAATTATATTTAAAAAAATATATTTTGTTACCTTGTCTAAAAATAAAATAGGATTGATAAATAGTTATAAAACTTCATTATCTTTTAAATATTATAAACATTTTGCACAAATTAAACCATATTTTTTCTACATGAATTTTATTTAAACGTATGTAATGGATAGATAAACGTTCGCATTTATAAGTGAATTTGTCGGTATCTTTGTTTAAAAAATAGATAAATTTTTAAAAATCTGTTAGGAAATATAAGAAAAAAAATTTTTAATTACAATATAAAATAAACGAAAAAAATATATATTTAACGATTTATAGAGTAGAGCATGGTTTATATTAGCCGGAATACTTCTAAAAATCAAATATGAAGAATTGATGATACAGACAAACTTAGAAACTGTTTACGACAAGAAGCTGCAAAATGGGCATGTGTTCTTGATGACATTACTTGTAAGGAAGTAGCCAACAAGAAATTAAAAACAACATCTCCAAGATCCTACAAAACACAAGTAAATATTGTTACATATTTTTAGCCTTTCTTAATCAAATTTTTACAGATATCGCTAATAATGTCAAATGATTTAATCAAAAAATCCATATGCTAAGCTTTAATAAGAAAATTTAATTTTTTTCTATTGTAGATTTTTGCCATGGTGGAAGGAATGGACATATTGTAAAGGTTTGAAAAAACTACAAAAACGAGACCACATGGGAATTAATGCAACTATAGGATTGGAAAATCTGACACTAAATTTTTGAATATTTGGCTTGCCCTGAAGATATTAA